GACAGACAGACAGACAGACAGACAGACAGACAGACAGACAGACAGGATTGTGATCTAAAAATAAGACCCAAAGTTAAGGGCCCGAGAGATGGCTCGGCAGTTAAAAGCACTGACTGCTCTTCCAGTAGACCTATGTTTGATCCCCAGCACTGGCTCAGAACCATCTGTGACCCCAGTTCCAAGGAATCTGACACCTTCTTCTGGTCTCTACAGGCACCAGGCATGCAACACCCATACACACAAAATAAATTGATCTGTTTAAGAGCTAAAGTTAAAACCTTAAAGAAAATACATAAAAATAAAAACCACAATGACAGACCATAGTCACAGCTACCACCAGGATGGCTAAAAAAAAAATAAAATATCAAGTGTTGACAAACACATCAAGAAACTACAGTCTTCCTTAAATTAATAGCAAATAATTTGATGGTTCTTTTAAACATTAAATATAAAATTACCCTATGACCTCACAGTTCTACTCCAAGGTATATGCCCTAAAGAAGTAACAGCAAATGTTCAAACAAATGCTAACACAAATGTTCACGGCAGTAATATTCACAAAGTCAAAAGATAAAAACAGTCCAAATGTCTATCAGCTAATGAATAAATACACAAAATGCATTCTGTCTATACAATGGATACTATTCAACTGTCAAAAACATAAGTACTTGATTGGGGATGTAACTGAATGGTTACAGCACTTGCCAGTCATACAAAATGCCTTGAACCCCATCCCCAGTCACACACGCACACACACCCACACACAAGAATAAAACAGTGAGTACTGACAGCTACTACAAAATGGATAAACCTTAAAATCATTAAGAAGCAGACCACAGGCCAGGCAGTGGTGGTGCACGCCTTTAATCCCAGCACTTGGGAGACAGAGACAGGCAGATCTCAGTGAGTTCAAAGACAAACTGGTCTACAAATTGAGTTCCAGGACAGCCAGGGCTGTTATACAGAGAAACCCTGGGGTGGAGAGGAGAAGAAAGGAGCAGCCAGACCACGGTAGATGGTAGCTCTGGAGGCAAAGAGTGGATTAGTGGCTCTTAGGAACTAAAGAAGGGTAGGAATGAGCAGTGTGATAATGGGTTTGACATTTTGTTTTAGGGGGTGATGAAAACAACTCTGAAATTGACAGTATCAATGGCTCCATAACTTTGTGAGTGTTCTAAAAGCCACTCAACTGTACACTTGAAATGGGTATGCTACAAGGTGTGGAGTACATGTCACTAAGGCTGTGCTTGTAAAAGATCTCAGAGAAGCACATTGTCTACACGTTCCGTTAGGCTTCAGAGAACCATAGAGGGTAGGTATTGAGTGAGGGCTTTACCACACACAAGCTCTCAGTTCACCAGAACAAAATGACACCCCTGTCCTTACTGAACCCCCTTTTTCTAAGTGAGGCCTGCTGCTCACCCTCCTTTCAGCACTTGTCAGACTAGGCTCATCTGCCCTGGGTGACGACTGCCCCACAACTGCAAACTGGACTTCCCTGGTGGACAAAGCCCATGCTGTGTGTCACACAGTCATGCTGGCCTACAGCATGTGCCCGGAAGATCTTTTGCCAGGGTCAGTAGTGAGAATGTAATGGGCCTCTGCAGAGCTGTGGAGAGAAGGGCAAGACAGCAAGATAAAGGTGTGGACTTGGGCTGTGGAGTCCCAAGACAGGAAGGCGTACTTACTTCTGCAGATTCGCCATCTGCTTCACCGCTTCCACAGCTCCTGGCAGAGGCTCCAGTTCAAAGAAGAAATCCTTGGACTCCCAGATGCTTACAGCTTTCTCCTAAGAAGCCAAAAAAAGCAAGTCACCTCCAAGTCCCCACTGTCCCACTGCCCTCCTCTGGGTAGAGCTGGAAGGGGGTTCGAGGCTCCCTACACTCACCCCAGTTCTGTGTCTTAGCGGGAATCACAAGGTGATGGTTGTGCTTGGGCCCCTCTCTCAGGAAGTGAATGGTGATTTCTCTTAGGACACAGCACAGACAAACTAAGGTGTCAGCTCTGGAGAGCCACCTGGTGTTCTCAGCTTGAGGATAGTCTTCACAAAGTGCACATTTGCTAGCCTTGCCTAGAACAGCCAGCACACAGCAAGGGCTGAGGGAATGCATTCCTGGCCACGACAAAAGAGTCACTGGAGTTGGAGGTTGAAGGAACTTAGAGATCCCCAAGTGTACCATGGTCTACAATGATGGGAATATGGAGAGCAGGGGAAGGAACAGCTTAGGAGAGTCCCAGCTCCCTGATCACACCAATCAGAACAGCTGTGCTCTCACCTGGTTCATGTGCTGAGATACCAATATTTTATTATGGTACTTGACAGGATCTCTCTGTGTAGCTCTGACTATCCTGGTACTCTCTTTGGAGATCAGGCTGGCCTTGAACTCACAGAAATCCATCTGCCTCTGCCTCTGCCTCTGCCTCTGCCTCTGCCTCTGCCTCTGCCTCTGCCTCCCCCTAAAAGGAATTTTGTTGCTTATAAAGTTTGAAAATCAAAAATCCAGACCTTGTGCCAGGTATGGTGGCCCAAGCTAGTCCCGTTACTTGAAAGGCCAGGCTGGGCAACAAAATAAAAGCCTGTCTCAAAAAGAAATACAAACTCTCATTTTAGCTATAGTAAAACAGATGCCACACAGTAAAACAGGCTGAGTAAGGATCCCCTTTCTACCATGTGTGAGTAGGCCAGAACTCGCCTTCTCAGAATGCTGGCCAGATCTCTCCTAGGGCCAGGCAAGGGGAAAGTAAGACATCTCAGCCTCCAAAAAGGGAGTGTTTCAGTGCTGCCCATGTGTGCAGTACAGGAAATACCACTGCCTGGTTAGGAGAGCACCGATCCCTTGTCAACTACACAGGTTGAACAAACACACTGTTACTAAAATACATTCTCAAGTACCATCCTTACAACCTACAAGGACCAAAGATTTCTGGCTCACAATTTAAGAAAAGCATGGTTTTCTTCAGAGCCACTTAGGGGTAATGCCTTTGAGACTTGAGCTCACACATAGAGGCAGTATAACCCTTGCTGCAGGCTAACTCTGGTCTGGTGACCACCCTCATGGAGCTTCTCACCAACAACACGAAGACAAGACCCATCTCTTCCTCCCAAAGTCCTGGTAAGACAGAACAGATTTGGCGTTCCAGCGCCAAGCCTCTCAGCTCCCTGTGAAGCAGTGGTAGAGGCAATCCCCAATCTGTGCACTTCTCTGTTCTAACAGTTGAGGATTCTAAGTCAGTTTAAATTAGCTTTTCTTTACACCTTTTCCCAACTTTCCTCCAAAAGTACTGTGGAAACCAAAAGGAATAAGGACAAAGTTACTCCATGGCCCTTAGAAGCCATGGGGTCTACATCCATGGACCCAAACAACCACAGACAGAAAATACTAGGGAGGAATTACTGTCTGTACTGAACACTCAGAGCCCCTTTTCTGTGTCATTACTCCCTTACTATTCAGTATTCAAAACCATCTCTGTGGCATTTACACTGTGCTTTGTATTATGTCACCTACAGCAGGGTTGAGCTATATAGGATTACACAGGTCATACACAAATGCCATGCCAATTTACATGAAGGACTTGAGCATCTGTAGATTTTGATACCCTAGGGGGTCCTGGAATGGGTTTCCCCGATACCAAGGGGCAAGAATACAAAGTAAAAACAGCTACATCTATTATACCTAGACTGTTTGGTTTAACCACAGATACTTAAGACAACTAGGTCACAAGCAGGCTCTGGGGTATCCTTCAGTGAGCTGAGGCTTGGAAAAGGAATGAGTGGAAGCCAGTAGGTTCCTCCCATCCCAGCAGCCTCCTTCTTCCCTGTGTTCTCTCACCTTGCACTTGGAAGATGGGAATTAGTCCCTTTGGGCCTGGAGTATCTATATACAAAGAGCTATTAAGCCACTTCGTAGTTTCTTTCTTTGTTTTATGGTGCTGATAATGAATCCCAGGGTCTCATGGAACCTATGTAATCACGACCACTAAGCTAAACCTCTAAGTCTTTGTTGTAGTCTTCTCCCCCGCCCCCACCATACACACTCCTCCTTCTTCGCTTCTTCTTTATGGTGTTAGGGTTTGAAGCAAGTCTGCTTGCAGAATCTGGGTAGATTTCATCTTATCCCATTAATATATTCTCAAGACTGTAGAGATGACTCAGTAGTTTAGAGTGCTTGCTGCTCTTGCAGAGGACCTGGGTTCAATCCCAGCACCCATATGGTGGCTCACAACCATCTATAAGTAACTCCAGTTCCAAGGCTTTGGATATCTTCTTCTGACCTTTGTACACCGGGACTGCACCTAGTACACATGTATACATGCAGATGAAATACTCGCACACATAAAGCTACATAAACAAATAAGCAAATTTAACACATTCCTATAATGAAATTGTGTCCCCCAAATTCAAACACTGGTCAGTCATCTACAAGTGAACCCCACACGCTGCAGTAATTATTGCTGAGGCTACAGAGGTGACATGGATTGTGATTGTTTCCTTTGTTTTAAAGCTTGTCATGGTTCTCAAAGCTAGGAAATGTCAGTTACCTGGGCTCTGTGGAAGTTGCCTGCAGAAGTTCATTCTGAAAATGAACAGAAATGATGCCCCATGTCCCCTTTCAGTACCTATTCCTCAGTAAACCAAATTATTATAGAGGTGCCTTATTATGTGGGGGTCTGGGAGTTGGGGGAGAGTTGCAGGGCTAGGAATGAACCCTAGGGTCTTACACTGTCTGGGCAATCCTCTACCATCAAGCTGTACTTGTTCGCCTTGCTGAAATCAAAAGAGAAAGCAGAACAGAGAACAGAGAGTTAGAGTGTAGAAAGAGAAATATGTGTGGCAGGCTGACAGGCTGCATGGTTTGAATTCCACCTGCATGCCTTGCTATCTGGTGACGTGGGAGCAGGTTTCCTTGTGTGCAAAGTGGAGACAGTAGCATCTTACTAAAGTCAAGACAAAGCAGTGGGCCACACAGGGATCAGGTGAAGTCCTGAATGAATGTGTGTTGCTGACAGATGTAGAGTCATATCAAGAACCCCAGAGCCTCAGATCCATGGAGGAAAGGCAAAGCCTTTTGGGATGAGTCCCACAAGCATGGCAAAGCCTTCCTCTGGTGCAAGTGTAGATTTTGACAGTGTGTGCTGCTTTCTCCCCTGGATGTTTGCTGCCTGCAGACTGTTCCCCTGCAGACTGCTCCCACCTAGATTAGCTAACCTTGTCTCCAGACCCAGCTGTACACCATAAACCTTGTCTCTGTGCTCATTTGTATGCACCTGCCTTTATGTTCAACTCTGTATAATAAACATGAGATTCTGGGTGTGCTACGGTTTTCCAGCAAAGAGCCCAGGCTAGCTGACCCAGCTTTCCCTCTGTGTATCTTCTTCATTACCTTACTGACATTAGTCCCTGGAGGATGTGAAGAACTAGGAGTTACATACCTGGTAAATCTCACCCTTCTCACCATCAAATCCTTTAGTTATGGCCCCTGGGCAGCCAACTGAGAGATGCCAGAAAACTCATCCTCTAACTTAATTCTGGGCAAATTTCCCTGTTCCTTTCATAAAATAGTTTGTCTCCAAATTACACTCTCTCTAACAAAAAGCCTGGACATCTGTCTAGCCATGAGGGAGGGGGTTGCCCAAGGACTCAGCAAGGACCTTATACCAGTCAAGAGGAAAGTTCACTCGACCTAGACTCTGACTCCCCATATGACACTTGGAAAGTCATATACTTTAGCATACAGTATCACTGAAAGCTATGCTTCCACGGATTGGGGCAAAAGAGGAGGGCGAATGGCACTTGTCAAATTCATCCAGAGGAAGAAATAGCCATGTCTGTGTAAGCGTAAGGAGACATAATGCTTAGTCTATTTTTTTCCCATGTAACAAATTACCTGAGGCCAAATACATCAACAGTTTAAAATTCAAACCCAGCCTGGTGTTATATGCTTGTGATCTTAGCTCTTGGGAGGTTGAAGCAGGAGGATCAAAATTACAAGGCCTGCCTAGGCTACAGAGTGAGTTAGTTCAAGGGCAGTCCAGAAAAGTTAGTGACAGCCAATGAGAGAAAAAAAAAAAAAAAAAAAAAAAAAAAAAAAAAAAAGGATTGGCGATGTATGTCAGTGGTAGAGAGCTTGTCTAACCTTCAGGAGAAACTGGGTTCAATCTCCAGTACTGAGGGGAGGTGGGTAGAGAGGGGCTGTGGTAGGGGTGGGGGAGAGTGACAGAGGGAGGAAGGGAACGAGGGAGAGAGG